CTCCTTACTATGCTTGTTATATGTGTGAAATGTGGTAAAATTCGGTCCAGTAATAAGCGAGATAGCCTCCAGGTGTAGCCCCCCCCCTTAAAGAATATTTTAACGGAAACTAAAGAGAAGATGTAGAGCTAAAACATTCTTTGATTTGTTGGACACGGAACAAAGGGGTTGGAGTATGGGTGGAGCTGGTGATGTGCTTAATTAATTTGCGTGTTTTAAATATACCGGTTACTTGCTTGATTTTTACAGATTGTATGGCTTGCGAAAGTCCGTAAAATAGGACCATTCATATTTCAAAAATGTTGAAATGGTATTTGTTTAACCCCCCTATCAACACTATTAGGTTATTTAAAGAGGCTTCATATTTCAAATTACACAAATAATTTGAAACGTAAAAAGAATGTGATTGTAGGTCTTTAAAGCACAATCGTCGTCACCACATTGACAATTTAAGAGGAATACTGTTTCAACATTGCCTGCCAAGGCCAACTATGACTGAGAGGGATACAACGTCCCAACAGACAGTTTGTTTGAGTAAAGAGAACCACATCGACACAATTATGGTCATTTAATGCACACAAAAAAGATAAGACAGACAGACAGAAACAACAGAGGGAACGTAAATAAGTACAGAAGTAGGACCTACCAGTTATTTATTTATTTTTATTTTTTTTAAACACCCCATACAGGAATTGAACCCACTTCTTATGCATGCGATGGCGAAGCAATTAACTCCTACACTACAGACGCAGGTCCATTATTTTGTGAAAAGAATGCTTTGAAAATGGAACAAAAATCATATTTAATTTACTCATTGTTGAATCTGAGCTCATACTCTCGTACTGTTTTTGCCGTCGAATACAAAAATCAAGTACAATTAATTATGTACACTATTATTATGCTAGTCGGGGTCCAATCGACTTTTTCAAAACATTCGATTTAATTGATAAAAATGTCTACATTTTACACTCTTCTTAGATTGGTTTCGAATTAATCTCTCTTTACAGCGAAGGTTTAAATACTTTTGAGATTGGACATAGATCTAGAATTTTTTTTTATGTTATTGTAGGCCTATTTATTAATTTTTTTAAAATCATTTTTAACAAAACATGATTCTGAAAGGTTTTTAATCCAAATGCC